ATGAATGAATGAATGAATGAATGAATGAATGAATGAATGAATGAATGAATGAGAAAGATACCAAATGGGATGGGGAGAACTAAAAAACAGTGATTTGCTAACTATTTTTTTGTAGGTAATAAAAAAGTGTGTCAAGCTCCCAAAAGAATCCACCTTTGAAAGTAACTTCTGTCTCCCACAAGAACCAAAAGAGAGAAAAGAACAGGCTAAAAATCTGTTCTTCTCTGGAGAGATTATTCTATTCGTGAGACTCACTCCACCTATCAAAGGGCCTTGACATTCTTCCCCCCAAAGTGTGACCAACATGTCCCAAAAGAGGTTGCCCCTCATTTACCAGACTTTGGACATACGTATTTTGCTTTAAGCATAAGAATAGTAGTTAAGCACCCAGAGTATTTGAGTTCTCATTACTAATTTTCTTAAGGCCTAGCTATTAGTCCTTAACATTTACTAAAGTAACTCTCCACGTACACACAATGCTTGTGGAAATCTCAAAAGCTACAAGAAAGGTGTGAAAAGAATTATGGCTTCTCCTCCATGCTCTGTTCTGACCCTGAATAATACTTTCATGGTGATATAATCCACATAAAACTTAACTGTGCTGTACTTTAAATTTAATTTTACAAAATGCCAAGGTATATATAATACCTTATACGTTAAGGTATTATATATCTTATAACCAACCACCAGGTATCCTTTCAATTCTCACACACGTCAGCTTGTATGTCAGCCAGTACTGCAAAATCTGCTTACAGAGATTCTTACTTACCCCAGTGAGGTAAGAGGTGCCCTTTTTGGTAAGAATCTGGTCAAGGTAGTCCAATGGCTTCCGGATGATGTTCAAAACATCCTCTCCTTTCTTTTCTTGTACAACATGAAGATACAAGGCTGCAGACAAAGCAGGCTGAAAGGAAAAGGAGGCATTTTAATTGATCTTCATTCTCCCTCTATTGTCTTTTGTCATTGCTTGAAAATTATGCTGCGATCATCTTCATACTGCTGTATTTATTTATCAGATTTATATCCCACCTTTCCTCCAGGAACTCAGTGACTTCCTCCTCCAATTTTTCTCTGTTACAACAAGCCTGTGAAGTAAGTTGGGCTAAGAGAGAGTGACTGGTCCAAGGGCACCCAGTGACCTTCCATGGTTGAGAGTAGGCTTGAACTTGGGTCATTCCAACCTAATCCAACACCTTAACCACTACACTATACTGGCTCTTTCTTAAGAAAAAAAATGAAGCATAGTAATAGCATTGGGCTACTAGACTTACAAACCTAACTTTCAAGTTACTGCTATAACCCAGAGTGATCACGAAATAGAATGGAGCTATGAGAAAGAAACAGCAAGTGCATGCAAATTTTTGATTCTTAACATCTGCCTCCACTGGTGCCCCCAAGGCACCTATTCACTTTCCTCCACAAAGAGGCCACCCATTCTAATGTTGACTGTTTACACACTCCAAACTGTCTTGGTGTTCTGTCTCTATTTCACCTATATAGCAATGAAACAGTAATGAGGGAACAGTGTTAAGTGTAGCTTTTTACTTGTCCCACTGTTTGGATTCATACATTATGTTAAGTCACAAACTAGGCACAAGTAAATATTCCACAGGCATCAGCGTGTGCCTCTAGACTCCTTGCATGCCTGGCACTTTATTTGCAACAAAGCCTTTGGTCCCACAAAGACCCCATTAACATGGTAGGGGTGAGCAGGTGGGGAGAACTAGTTTGTCTTCTGGTAAATAAAATGTTTTGCAAGTCTTCTATGGCAACCGTTTTGTGAGTGTGCTCATCACATGCTTTTAAACTTTTAGTTGTTTCCCAGGGCCAAAATATTTGCCTAGTTTGCCATAAACCTTGGCTTACAAATTACATTGGCCTAGGTTCACAATATGTTAAGGCCAAACCACACAAATCATATGATCACTTAACACAGTGTATGAGTGCTGACATTGGATTTGTTCACTCAACACAGTATGTTTGGTTTAGTTTTATTCAGTATGTTGTATGAACCACCATGAGAGATAGTGAGAACCAGGCACAGAAGGAGTTCAGTGAGTGCAAGAAAAGACAGCACAGCTAGGGGAAGGAAAGGTTTCAAAGATTCCACCTTAATGGACTCTGCTTTATTTTTAAATTTTAAATTTATTTTTACAGTTTTCAAGATGACGTTTTCACCCTAACTAGCATTAAAAGTGTTTTTCCTCAAATCAATGTGGTTCTCGCTTCTTGAGTTTGCTAGCTAGGTGGATCTTGACAGCCAGCCACTATGACCAATAAAACATGAGTCATCATTTATCATGTGGCGCACCTCCAGTCACTAAGTCCCACTGAATTTGAAATGATGAAATCAATGAACTGAAATATTGTTGAGGCAGTGAACAATATTAACTTCCAATATAAGGGCAACCTGAGGCACACCTTATTTTTTTTCTTTTAAGTAAAATGCTGCTGCTCACTCCAAAGAGAAAAGCACTGCGCTAGGTTAAACACTACAGAGGCTACAGGAAGAAACACAGCTTCATCCACATATGTATGCAATAAGTGGTTCACCCTTCATTGACAAAAGGCATAAAGAAACATACTATACCTGTCAGAGGTTCTCTGGTATCGACTGGCTCCTCTCCATACATCCTACTCATATAGCTGGGCATAATCTGAACCATCACCTGAACAATGAGACCTCTTCCCTTTAAGAACAATGGTTTACCCACTCCACCCCAAATACATGGCCAATTTACTCACCTCTAGCTCAGTTACATCCCATTCAAATAACTGATTGGCAAAATCACTCTGCTCATTTTTAAAACCGCTCATTTCTTTTCCAGATAAGCGGAAAAAGTATCTAGAAGATAAACAAATAGAAGGGGGTGAGCACACTCAGGCAATGCACTTCCAGGAACATTAAAAATATTGTAGAAGAGCCTTTGTTCTACCATGAGGAGCTCTCTTGCTATCTCACAAGAGGCTACCATTAGCCCTGCCCAATCTAGAATTTATTTTCTTCTGGCAAAGGATGATTCTTTCTCATGATTTTCCATTTCTAGAACAGAGGTGCTCTTGAGTTGAACTCTGTGACTATATGGATGCATCCATTTTCTTGGCAAGTCTAAGGAAAAGGTTTGCCACTGCCAAGATGTTGTTTTTTTAACCTGTTCCAAATACTTATTTGGTTTGATCCCATTTAGCTTTATAGCCAGATGAGGACATCCAGATGCAACAACCTGCTGACACTTCCTATACAGACAGTCCTCGTTTAGCGACTGTTCGCAGTTATGATAGTGGTGAAAAAGTAACTTTGTGACCAAACCTCACATTTTCAACCTTTGCAGGTCGGTAAAGCAAAGGAAAGCTGTAAGATCATAAGCACAGGTGCGCTTTCACTTAGCAACCATTTTGCTTAATGGCCAAGTTGCTGGTACTAATGAGGACTACCAGTATCTAGTTTTGCAATATTAGGTGCATCCATTACTTATGTTAACATTAGAAAGCCGGTAGGGTGTAATATTTAGCAGGCTACAGACCTATATCCAAGACTCCTCATGAGACTAGTCTTTCTCTTAGTTTAACTCTCCACCTTAAATTGTTGCAAATACACACACACACACACACACACACACGTGTTACTTAGGGAATGGGCAGCAAATGTATGGTATTGCTAATGTACTGTCTCAGTAGATTGGAAGCAGACAAGCATTTTGTAGCATGGTCTGCAATTCTTCCACATGGATCTCTGTGAGTGTGTGCATAAGCGTGTGTAGCCTGATGATAACCTAAGGATATCATGTAAATGGGGCAAGGCCATTTTTCTGAAGGTTGGGGGTTTGGGACATTTGGGGGAAGAGAAGTCTGCAGCTTAAGTTGCATTATGTCTTTCCAAAAGTTTAATAAGCTTTTTTTCCTGTTCATCTTCAAAAGGAAATCAAGGATTTGCTAATGAATTTTGGTGATGTGATATTGTGGCTCTCTAGTGCCACAAAAAATGGACTCAGAGTTACGTGCAGAATGTGATTTGCTCCTCTACTAGTCACATCTCTGAAATACACTTTGTGTCTTCCCTCCAAACTTGCCTTCTTCTCTCCTTTAAGAAAAGGCCCTGCTCTGTTGAAATGTATACATGCATATGCTTATTCTCCAGCTACATCCACAGTGTGTTCCAAAAAGTGGCAGAGTTGGAGGATGGTCAATTCTGTTTTCACCTCCACTTTTTGCAGCTTAAAAGGAGCCCCCAAAAGTATCTTGCCCAAGTGCCTTTCTCTCAATTCTAGTATTTGATTGACCTGGAGCCACACTCCCAAAATTTTTGAAAGAGCCTTTTGAAAGGAACCATCTCTCTCCTGATTTGCCCTGATCCTGTGGGCCTTTAGAAAGATTGCTCTTCTCAGAATTCAAACTCAACAAATAATCCCCACATTCTCCTGGGATTCCAGAATCAGAATTTTATTTTCAAAAACTCATATTCTGACTTCCTTCACCCTTAAGATAAATTGACACAGAAAAAGGTTACTCCCTAGCCAGTCCAAGACACTCTGCTGCCTAAGATGAAGGACAAGATGTTCTACCCTGCTCCCCATACACACATACATGCTGTACACTCCATCTACAGAAGTTGACCAAAACGGTCCACTCTACCCAAGAACAGCAAGGTAGCTTAAGAAGAACAAGACTGTCTGCTACTATCACCAACAGGATCTCATTGCACCTTCTTGTTTCCCAGTCACTGGCGAAGCAGTTGGCTAATGGTAGAGCCAGCCCTGCATAACATTGGCCATATTCTCATGGATAATGGGTGATAGGCTTAGACATGCAGACAGCTAAATATGGTTAAATGACCCAGCCAATGAACCCTAAGATGATTTGATTTAAAATAAATGCAGCTATGTTTGGGACTAAACTAACTCTAGTCAACTACCTCTCCAACCCACCTCCCACACACATACATGTCCTCCAAGCAACTTACCTGAGAATTAACTGTCCTTCCCAATGTCTACAAATGAGACAAGCTCTTAGAAAAACACTATAAGGTGGGGAGTTATATAGGTACCGCTTGTCATCAATCTGGTTTTCCTAGATGTGGGGTAGTGGGAATGAGAAGAAACTGGCCACTCTTTCCAAGGTGATACTGATCTCAGTCATACCACTGAGATTTGGGAGGGTGGGGCTGCTCCTCTTGGGAGAGGAAAAAAAATTTAAAAGAAAGATTCATGTATGGATTCTGGGACGACCTAGTAAATGATTGCCAGTACAAGTGACCAAGACATCTTGACTTATGCTCCGCCTGAATATGAAAATAAATTCACAAGGGTAGGAATAACTTCCGGAGCCATGTCACGTGAGTGTAGCTTCTAGACATTCATCTCCTCCCATCTCAGAGTTAATAACTTTTTACTTGCTTGTTATAACATAATGAAAACAGAACTGGTACCTGAATGTACTTATTTTCCCTCTTCTTTCTGTAATAAAGAAAGCTAAAATATAGCTATTTTAAAACTGTAGAACACCTAAAATCCTTTAACAAAAGGAAATTATAAAATAAACAAATAATGGGAACTGATCCTACATAGGAAAATAGTTCTGTTCATTTTAACTCAAATAGGGGCTTGCTGGGTATCTTGATTATGCACATCCTCTAGTTCCTGTTGTAAACATTCTAGAAAAGCTGCTTTATGATGGTCAGTTTCTCACATTCCACCTCATTCTTCCAATATTCTATCATATTTCAGGGTGATAAAGAAAGAGAAAGCCAGTGCAAATATCAGCTCATATGCTTCTTCATACTAATACTAATAGAGTCCCCTATTGTGGGGGAGATGGGCGGGGGAGAAATCCAATAGATAGATAGATAGATA